GGGGGTTTGGGGGACATTGCTGTGCCCTATGGCACTGGGATCCCACTGGTGTCGGGGGTTTGGGGGACATTGCTGTGCCCCATGGCACTGGGATCCCACTGGTGCCAAGCAGGTTCCACTGGCTCCTGAATGGTGCCCCGCTGCACGCAGCATTCCCACGGCTGCCTGACGATATTCCACCCTCCGATCTGGGCAGCCTGGCCTGTTCTCCAGGCTTGAGCCCTGGCAGAAGGAAGGGCATTCCAGTTCTTTTCCAGGTCATTGTTCTCCTGTCCTAATTTCTCGCTCCTGCTCGGTCACCGGTTTCAGCTCTGAGCCGGGCACAGTTTGGTTCCATCCTGCAGCTGCAGGTCAGTCTGGACCTGCTGCCAAYGCCAGCTGCCCGGCCGTGCTGCCCAGGCTGGCTGTTCCCTGCTCCAGGAGCTGCCAGCCTGCATCTCTCCTGTGCCTGCTGATGCTCTGAGCGATGCTGAGGGTGCTGACCGGCTGGGTTTTGTCCATGAGTCCCAAATCATCARTGCCACCCCCCAGCCCTGACCCCACACCTTTTCCTTGGGTGGATCACCTTTCCTGGGGCCTGCAGGCTCAGCATGGCTGATCMCATCTTCTGCTCCACTCATCCCTGCATGGTTGATCGGGTGATTTCAAGTTGTTTAAAACTTGTGGYTATTGGTGCGTGTAACCAATTTAGGTTTAATATTTCCTGCTTTCGTAGAGGAAGGGCAGCTACCAAGCCCACTTCTCCATCGGTGCAGAGCTGTCTGTGCTCCACAGACATGCCAGAGTCCCACAAACCCAAATAAGTTCAGGATGTTCCCGGGGATGTGGCTGCGTGCGAGGCCTCACGTCTGTGGCTCTCTGTGCTTGGCTTTAAACCCCAAAATCACTGCTGGAGCCAGGGGCTTGCAGCCTTTGCATTGCAAATCGTGTGGTGAGGGAATGTGAGCAGGAGATTTCCCACCCAACCCCAATGCTGCTGCTTGAGAGTTTTATTGGCTTTGCTTGGGCCTGATTTTTTTGGAAAGGAAGGGAATCTGTGGATGAGGCTGTTCATCAGGAGCCAGGTTATGAGTTCCTGTTGATGAGATTGACCCTGGAATTATGCACGAACTTTGTTTCCTGCCCCGCTGTCTGTGCTGTGCTGCCATGCCTGCTCCTCATTCCCTGTTTTGGAAGGCTTTCGAGCCRTACCTGTATGGAATCACTGCTTTGTATGCACATTATTGCCCAAGCAGGGTGTGTTGGAGTTGCTGTGGCTGCACATTARTCCTTATTGCCCTCAGGCCTCTTTGACAGATCACTGAAATTTGTACCATTAACTGCACTTTTCAGTGCTCTCCATCTCTTGCCTTATGTTCTGAYTTGGTGAGACAGTTTGACAGGTGGGGGACTGGCATGTGAAGGAGGGATGTGCCASAGGGAAGGTGCTGTTCCAGGTTAGACTGTGAGTGCTGGGTCCTGCCCACTCTCAGGTGAGCACAGAACCCATTTCACATGGTTTCACCTGTGGTGGCTGTGGCCTGAGCACACCATTGAAGCGTTGGCAGGTTGTTTTCTCCATCTGGAAACCTTATAGCTCTGAAAACCTGAAATTGCAGCTTATACCTGTTTGACAGGCTGGAGTGTGGGAAACATCAGCCTCAGGCTGCAGAGTGCCAACCACGACCTTCTGAGGTGGCAGAGAACTCGGTGTGCTGATATTTGCCTCCCCTTGCTTTAAGTTTGATTTGTTCCTTACCCATTGTGTGGCACAATGGTATGTGTTGATTCCTCTTTTTTTTTTCTGTGGCTGACTCCTGTTTTTCTGCTGGCACATGGCTTTCCCCATCACATCAGYGAGCACTTTCCTCTCAGTGGACACACACATTGAGCACAGAGAGAGCCTTGGTTATTTATGTCACCTGCCTGCCCAGCCTGAAGGGCTTGGTGACATTTGCTGTTTGTGCCTAAGTGAGGGGAGTTGTGGTGCCAGAATTTCCATTAGAGAGATAAGGTGAGCAAAGGGCTGTGAGGAGCAGGCATCGCTTAAAAGCTGAAATCTCATTGTGCAYCTCARGGAGGGCAGAACTGCAGCTCCTGAGCACCTCTAGCACCTCTCCAAAGCCTCCTGTGCACAGTTTAGTGCTGACACTGAGCTTGTGTGTGTGTGATTGTGTGATGACTTGGGTTTTTGTTTTCTCATCTCAGCAGAAAGGCTTTGCTTTGCAGAAGGACTGTGTGGGTGTCCTGTAGGCACAGGCTCACAGGCAAGGCTGGGAAGGGCAGCTTTCATTGATGGTTTTGTGTAATCCCGAGCTGTTGGTGCAAATTGCAGAGTTTCAAGGGTTTTGTTGCTTTGACTTGAGGCAGAAAACAGGGTGGAAGYGTGGAGGATTGCTTTCATTAAATGAGGAAAGCTGTAGTTTCCTGCTGATGTGGAAAGGCTGCRGGGAAAAGCGAGGCCATGTGGCCATGCTGGTCACTTGAGCTGCTKTGAGCAATGCTTCCAGAGGTGAAATCTCTTTCCTCACCCTGCTCACGTGGCCATTAATGTGTTATCCAGGGGCTGCAGGAGCAGTGGATTCGGCTGCTTCCCCACACGCAGGGTGGTTGTGCAGCAGGATCAACATTGTCATTTATTCCCTGCTGCAGCTCAAGGCCACTCGAGCTCTTTGCTGCCAGAGGAGAAGCAGGAGCAGTTGGAAGCATCCTGTCCCTTCGGTTTTGCTCTGTCACTGTCTGTTCCCGAGAAGCTGTGGTGGTTTTTCCTCACTGTGGTAATGCCTTTGGCCTGGAATGCAGTGCAGAAAATGGTTTGCATGAGCTGCAAACAGTCTGGCCATATTTAATATTGCTAATAGGTGACTCATGTCACCCCATGGCAAGTGCTTGACTTATTCTAGCAAACGAGGCTGTGTGGACCTTTTCCTTCCTGTTTCAGGGAGGAAAGCTGTGGCCTCTCTGATGGAGAGCARGGAACAAATGCAGTTCCTTGGAGCCACAGGTTTCCCTGGTGGGTTCTGTGAATGGTATTGAAGGAAACAGTGACTTGGGCAAGAGAGTTGCTGAGAATCTCCTGTGTCACAGGGGATGAASCATCGCTGCTTAACCTGGATTTGCATTTTCCTAGAGCTCTACTATGACCGAGGGAACCACCACGAGTTCGTGTCCCTGGTGAAGGACCTGGCCCGGCCTGGGGAATTCACTCAGTCACAGACATTTGACTTTGAGTTCACACACGTGGAGAAACCTTACGAATCCTACACGGGGCAGAACGTGAAGCTACGGTGAGTGCCCTGCCCTGGCTGACCCTGCTTCTGTTCTGTGTGAGTGCTGAGAGATGCAGGAGTAACACAACTCCAAATGAATTTTGGGGRCTGAGTTGTGAAAGGCTGCCTTTGAGCATTTTATTTTACAAGCATGCATCAGGCTCTTTGTGGAATTTGTTTTTCCCCATTTGAGTGACAGGAGAAATCAGCCCCTTTTGAATCAATCAAATATGGAATTTGTTTTTCCCTATTTGAGTGACAGGAGAAATCAGCCCCTTTTGAATCAATCAAATAGTTGCTAATTTATTTGATAATTCAAAAAATCAAAATAAACTGTTTGGTTTAGTCTACAGTGGGGWTATTTTTGCTGTAATCAGTCTTGTCAATTTTAATTGTGCTCTGTATGCAAACAGATGCTTTGCTTGTGCCTTGTTCATATGTTACAAATGAAATTYCACATCGAGGCACTCAATTGACTAAAAATCCTTTCACTGGCTTCAAAGTGGGGGTTGGAAAAGTCTGAGATCTGCACTGGGAGGTGTGGCTGTGCAGACTGATGTAATATTGCAAAAGGCAGTGGTTTGAACATGTGCAGGCTGCTCCTCAGATCCCCAAAATGGGGCTTGGGTAATTCAGGCTCACGAATGYGTGGAAGCTGAGAGGAGCCTGCTTTTCCATTTGAAAATTCCCTTCTGTCTGTTCCAGAGTGGGGTGTTGGCAGCACCAGGGGCAGAGACATGTAAAGAGCTGAGGGCTTTTTTGCTGTGGGTTGATTTTGTTCAGACCTGGACAAAAAGAGAGCAGTGGAACAGCAAATGACATGGGAATAGGTGCTTCCTCGCTGTTCTGCTTCCTTGCAGCAATTCTTTGGTTTCCTGCTTCTTTTGTCCCTCTGGACATTGCCCATTCCTTGTCCTTAAAACCATGGTAGCCCTTCTCTCAGCTGGGTGGCTGTGCATGAGCTGAACTGAGCTCCTCACCTTGCCAAGGAGAGGATCCTGAGCTTCATTGGGAAAAAAAAGGAACTTTCTCAGTGGATCTGTCGAGTTGATCATACATTTTATTTAGATTTACATGGATTTGTTCAGTAAGGCTGTTTGGACAGTCCAGTCCAGGCCACCCAGGCTTTGTCCCTGGTGCTCCCTGTGTGACCCTGATGGCAGGGGACTGTCCCCACAGGTATTTCCTCCGTGCCACCGTGAGCCGCAGGCTGAACGATGTGGTCAAGGAGATGGACATCGTTGTGCACACCCTGAGCACCTACCCCGAGCTCAACTCCTCCATCAAGATGGAAGTTGGCATCGAGGACTGTCTGCACATCGAGTTCGAGTACAACAAATCCAAGTGAGTGTCTCAGGAGCAGCTGGGGGCTGTGGGGATCCAGCTGCTGCAGCTTTCCTCCAAGAAATTCCATGTCCATGTGCTCCAGCGAGGCTGGGAGACAGCTCAGATCCTGCTGGGCTCCTCTCCTTCCCCCGTATCTCTGGATCAAGGCATGGGAAGCAGTGGCTGTGGCTCACTGAACCTGGAGCACAGCGTGAAATTCCTGCACCTTCCCACTCCCTGTATCCCCAACCAGATCAGTGCTTCCAGGTGTCTCCAAAATACACGGTGTGCTCCTTACCAGGCAATACAGCTCCAGTGGGAATTAACTCCACCAAAAAATTTGAGAAGAGCTCTTTTAAGCTACTCTTAGTATGTCTTTCCCAGCTCATGCTGGCAAATCTCCCTGCCAAAGATTTGCCAAAAAAAAAGGATGCCAAAAAAGTCCCTGGTGGTTGGTCAAAGGTTGGACTCGATGATCTCAGAGGTCTTTTCCAATCTAATTGATTTTGTGTTTTGGGTTGATTTTAATTGAGCTAAAATACTGGGTTTGGAGCCTTTGCTGTTCTAGGGTTTTCTTGCAGATATTCAGCCTCAAGTTATCTTTCTAATCTATCTGCTCATGCTGAATGTTCTTATGGATTTCCAGAGGATGGAAATGAAGGGCTGTTTGCTGGTGGGGGTGGTTGATTTGCCATCTGCTGGGGATGAGAGTGAAGTGCCTGCCCAGCAAGTTCCTGCACTGCAGCCCCAGCCCTGCTCTGCTGCACTGGGTTTGATCCTGGTGCTTTGATGCCTGACCTGGCTACCTAAACCAGAGCCCAGAGAGAATTGAGAGAATCCAGAGCAGTTCTGTTATTGCAGGGCCTTCAGGGCCATTCAGGGCAGTCCCAGCCCAGCCAGGGGCTGCACCCACAATGGACAATGGCTCACGGCTTTTTCACCCTTTCTCACTTTTGTCCATTTGCACAAAATCGGGCCTGAATCCTCCAATTGCAGCTGCAGCCAATGCAGTCAAAAACTCCAACTTGGCTCCCCCAATTCTCTGTTGTTTCCATCTCTTGGGGCCTGGCCCAGGGAGGTGTCCTTGAGTTTGGGGCTGCAGAGGAATTGTTTTGTGTRAAAATGGGAGAGCAGGAGCTCAGCACTGTCTGTGGAGTCTGGAGKTAAACACTGGAGAATCCCAGGGTTTACAGAGACATGGAAATAGAGAAACTGAAATCCTGAGGCATCATTCTCTGCCCTCTCCTGCCAGGTACCATTTGAAAGATGTGATTGTGGGGAAGATCTACTTCYTGCTGGTGCGGATCAAGATCAAGCACATGGAGATCGACATCATCAAGAGGGAGACGACGGGCACGGGGCCCAACGTGTACCACGAGAACGACACCATAGCCAAGTATGAGATCATGGATGGGGCACCTGTGAGAGGTGAGAGRGCACGGGAACCCCCAGAATTCATCTTTGGAGGCTTTTGGGGTGGGAATACGAGTTTTGCAGTATTTTCTGTGTGCTCATGTCTCAAAGGAGTGTGCTTGAGATTGCCCAAAAATCACTGATGAGGGTGTGAGCAAGGGTCAGAGTAAACATTGAASCATAAAGCACAACAGATTCCTTGGCAAGATTCRCTCTGCCTRCAAAGGACAGCTCAGGCACAACRAGGGAAAGTGAGCAACAACAAAAGCAAACAAATCCTGGCAATCAAAACAGAAATGAAGACTACCTAGGTATGGATGTGTGTAGATAAAGATGAAAAGAAATGCGGCCTAAAGCTTAACAACACTGAATCTTAACAGCACTTTAACTTAATTTAACTTATACTTTAGTTTTGTAGCTTACCCTTAACAATATAACAGAGAAATAACACTTAACAGCATTAGCCTAAATTCTAACTATAACTTAACCTAGTTAAATTCCCTGTTTGCTCTGGCAAGGAGCACGCACCCAGACATAAAACAGTCAGTGCAAGGTAAGRTACCTGTGGCAAAATCTYCCTCAGARMTCWGTGAAAAATACTCACTTTTGCAWCTCCTGACAGGCGAAGGATCARGYCTTGAGCARTGAGGTATCAGCCCAGCACATGTCRTRTTTYGGTGATGCTCCAGCCAAAGCAAASCTGAGGATTTTCTGGCCCTGAGAGGCCCCTCAGAAGGATATTGCTGGTCACAGTCCCACTGTCCCCCAGGAGAGATCAAAGAGCTCCATTTTGGGCTGCTGTTTGTAGGAGTGCAAGCCAGTGGGCTTTAGTTGTAACCCACAGTTTGGGTCAGCACTTCCTTTGAAAGCATAAGAATAGAAATGTTACACCTTTTGGGCCAGAGAAAATTTCCCAAGGTGGTCATGAGGAAAAGAGAAGCTTGTTAGGAGTTGCAGGGAGCTGACAGTGTTTCTGATAACTCAGAAAGAGCTGAGTCCAGGTGGTGTTTGCAAAGCCAAGGCCTAAGCAAGGATTTCTCAGCTCACACTGCAGCCTGGAGAGGAGCRGGGTGGGGATGCACCAGCACAGCTCAGGGTCAGTGTCCTGTCGATGCCTTAGCAAGGCTCACCTGGAACAGAGGCCAGACAAAGTGAAGAGAATAAAGCAGGCAAATTTAATCCAGGCCTAATGGCACATTGAGGGCAGACAAAGCCTCCTCATGAGGCTGCACCCAAAATGGACCCCGAGTCATGAGATCTTCACCTTTTATAAGTTCTGTCTCATTCACACATCGAGCCCCAGTTCTCCAATGACACCTTCAAGTGATGATGTCAATTCCCCCAAGTTTGCTCCCCTCCAATTCTCTATTGTTTCCATATTTTGGGGCTCTGAGGCGGTGAGATGTCCTTGGATTTTAAGCCCAGAGAGGAATTGTTTTGTCTAAAGATGGGAGAACAGCAGCTTTAGTGCTGTGCACTGGAGAAGTACAAGAATACAGATACATGAAAATATAGAAACTAAAAAATCCTAAGGCATCACTGTTCCACTGGTGGGCTCAGAGCAGGGCATTGATCTGACCCYGTTCCTTCTCCAGGGCTGTGATGAGGGGCAGCTGAGGCACAGTGAGTTGCAATGACTCCATTCTTTTGCTGAAGCAGTGGCAGAACCAGCTATAAATTCACAGTTTGCGTGGYCGCCAGCTGGCACTGCAGCAGCTCAGAGCACAGGGATGGCGTTCTTGCTCTGTGCCAGTCTGCTCTGCCACCGTTCCTCTGCCCAGCAGAGTCACCTGCCAGAGAAAATGTCACCTTACTCATTTCTTCTGCAGTGCTGTCTCGRTGCAGGTCCCAAAAGAGTCCCGTGCTGTTAGAGTGGAGCTGGAACAGCTGCCAGCAAGGGCAGGGTCTCCTGTGCACTGGGCATGCTGCTTTCTGAAGGGATTTGAGGCTTTCTAGCTCATGTTAATCCACTTGTGGGARCAGTGAGAGTTTGTGGCTGTGTGAGGTTCTGTCCTGCTGCATCCTGCMTGTGCTGACAGCTCTGTGCCCTTTCCAGGGGAGTCCATTCCCATCAGGCTCTTTCTGGCTGGCTACGAGCTGACTCCGACCATGAGGGACATCAACAAGAAGTTCTCTGTGCGTTATTACCTCAACCTGGTGCTGATCGATGAGGAGGAGAGACGCTACTTCAAACAGCAGGTGAGGAACAGAGCTGCCCTTCTCCTGGCACCTGTAGATGGTTGGTTGGGATGTTTTTATCAGGATCTGCTGAGAGTTTGGGGTTCATCATTTGGAAAGGTGGTCTAGAGTTCTCCTTGTACCTGTAGATGGTTGGGATGCTTTTACAAGGATCTGCTGGGAATTTGGGATTCATCATTTGGAAGGATGGTCTGGAGTTCTCCTTGGACTTGGTGGTGGTTGGTTGGGATGCTTTTATGAGAATCTGCTGGGAATTTAGGGTTCATCATGTGGAAAGGTGGTCTAGGGTTCTCCTCAGACCTGTAGATGGTTGGTTGGGATGCTTTCACGAGGATCTGCTGGGAATTTGGGATTCATCATTTGGAAGGATGGTCTAGAGTTCTTCTTGGACTTGGTAGTGGTTGGTTGGGATGCTTTTATGAGAATCTGCTGGGAATTTAGGGTTCATCATGTGGAAAGGTGGTCTAGGGTTCTCCTTAGACCTGTAGGAGGTTGATTGGGATGCTTTACAAGGATCTAGATCTACTGGGATGTTGTGGGAATTTGGGATTCATTATGTAGAAAGATGATCTAGACTTCTTGGACCTGTGGTTGGTTGGGGTGTTTTTATGAGGATCTACTGGGAATTTGGGATTCATCATGTGGAAGGATGATCTGGAATTCTCCTTGGACTTGGTGGTGATTGGTTGGGATGCTTTTACAAGGGTCTACTGGACATTTAGGGTTCATCRTGGGAAAAGATGGTCTAGGGTTCTCCTCAGACCTGTAGATGGTTGATTGGGATGCTTTAGATCTAGATGCTTTTGGGATGATCTAGATCTACMGGGAATTTGGGATTCATTATGTGGAAAGATGATCTAGAGTTCTTCTTGGACCTGTAGATGGTTGGTTGGGATGMTTTTATGAAGATTTACTGGRAATTTAGTGTTCATCATGTGSAAAGATGGTCTAGGTTCTCCTCAGACCTGTAAATGGTTGGTTTGGATTATTTTATGAGGATTTACTGGGAATTTAGGGTTCATCATGTGCAAAGATGGTCTAGCAGAGTGTCCATGTAGGTCAGATGTGCATGGTGGTGGGGAGAGTGCCTGTCTGGGGGTTCTGTTCTGCTCAGTGGTGGAGCTGCTGTGCCTCACCTGATCAATGTCAGCAGGACAGAGCTGCCCTGGATGTCCCCTGGATGTCCCTCTTTACCCAAATTTCAGGCAGGCTGTGCTGCCAGCCGTGCCCTTCCATGGGTGGAACCCGCAGCTCTCAGCTGGCACAGCCTGCAGGGCTGGGTGGGGCGGCAAAAAGTGTGGGCAGAAGGCACCAGGAGCCCTGACAAACCTGGGCCGTGTCCCCACAGGAGGTGGTGCTGTGGAGGAAAGGGGACATCGTGAGGAAGAGCATGTCCCACCAGGCCGCCATCGCGTCGCAGCGCTTCGAGGGCACGTCCTCGCACGGCGAGGCCAAACCCCCCGGGCAGCCCGCGGACAACAACGGCCGCCAGTGAGGCCAGAGCGCCCCGGAGCCCCCGGGACAGCGGCACCCAGGAGACGCTCACAGACTGCAMACCAACAAATACCCGGTTTTGACTGAATTCCTTTCTTCGGAGGACTGGCGGGGTGGGAAGGGGCGGGAGGGCCGGAGGAGCCTCGGTGCTTCCCAATCCAAACATTCCTCTGGAGGCTGGGCTCGGCCGCTCCGAGGCGATGGCCGGGGGCTGCGGAGCTGCCTGATCTCCTCTGTGCCCCGAGAGCCTCGGCCTGGCCAGGGGAAGGACAGAGCGAGCCAAGAGCCCTCCCTGTCTGCTGCTCCCCCAGCGCTGTGGAGGCTGCTTTGGGGCCGGGCAGGATGGATGGTTTTCTTGCCTTTCCGAAATCTTTCCCTGGGTGACACGGCCCGGTGATTAGCTGGATGCTGGAGGAGGGATCAGAGACTGCGGTGTGGCCCGCTGGAAATGGCCTGGTGTCATCCCCTCGCTGCCTCCCCTTCTTCCTCGTCGTGCTGGCCTTGGATTCCTTGCCACAAGCAGTTGGATGATGATGGTGGCCCAGCCCTGGGATTGTCACCTGGAGCACGGGCAGGCTGTGCCGTGTCCCCATCCTGTGTCCCACCAGGAGCTGTGGCTGGCAGCAATGAGGSAGCTGTGTGGCTACAGGAGGAGGTGGCACGGGGTGGGCAGAGTGGGGACAGTCCCAGCACTGCTGGGTGGGCAAGCAGTGGGGGCAGGRAGGCTCCTGGCCACGAGCAGTGCCTTCCTGGTCTTGGCTTGAGTGCCCTGAGAGCMACACTCTGGCTGCAGCTCCCAGCTTCTGCTGCAGGGCAGCCTGCAGAGGTGAGACAGCACTTTGGGGACTTTGGGGGCTCTGCTGGGATGGGGTTTTTAGGCTGCACATGCTGCCCTGCCCGTGTCTGTGGCCTTGGGACAGAGCAGGCTTTGTGCAGGGACACGTGTGTGGGGTCTGGTTTGCTGCCTCGTGCCTGCAGGAYGAGGATTTGTGGGGACAGAAGGTGGGTGCAGTTGTCGTGGGAGGCTCAAACAGGCCTGTGGGGGCTGCTGGATGAAACCAGGCAGCGACTGGAAGGGTGGTAGAGCTCTGATTCCACAGACACATTCCTGAGGCCTGAGCTGAAGTCACCAGCGAGGTCCAAGGGCATGAACTTAGAAYCTGAACGCGGGTTTTCTTTTTTAAAATAAGCTGCTTTTCGCCTTCAGCTGAGTAGACTCACGAGAACATTCCCAGAAGGAAGTCACTCCTCCATTAAAAATTTAAAAAATTCAGATGTGGCTTTGTAGACTGGATTGACTGAGTTTGGACAATGTCCATCCTGCCCTCCAGGCAGGCAGCTGGTGACACCTCCTGCCCGAGGAAGAGACAAACCTGTGCCAGGCGCTGGGATAGGAGCTCTGTCAAGTGGGATTTGCCTGGATTTCCCTGAGTTTGTGKCTCACTAGCTTGCCCAGCTTCCTTTTGGCTCTGGAATGGAGTTCCTCAGCCCTACAAGCTGAATGTAGAGCAGGTGTTTTTCACAGCTGGGAAGTGGAAGTTTCTGCTGTGTTCAGTGGGATGGTGCTGGTGGAGGGAGTGGGGCCGGGGTGGGATGGGGAGCTTTTTCTGTAATGACAGCTACTGTGTTTCAGTGATCAATGTGTGTTTCTGCTTGCCAAAGTAAGTTATCTTTTCCTCACCACGTGTAAGGTTGTGGTTTKTAGTGGAGCTGGCCAGCCTCGCTCTGTAGAGGACACTAACGCTCTCATCTCTGCCCAATGCTYGTGTCACCCCGTGTTCCTGCTCTGCTCCAGGGGGGACATGGCGTGCTTTGCTCCCCATGGGGACTCTGTGCCATGAGCTGGGGCAAAACTCCCTTCAGACAGCAATCACCATGTTGTGCTGGGGCGAGGGCTGGGGACCTGGGTGTGCYGTGGCAAAGGAGCCTGGAGGTCACTTTGGACACTCCTCCCTCCCTCCCCGGGTGCTGCAGCCAGGCACAATCCTGTAAGGACTGGTGAAGCTCCTTTGGGAGCCTTTGGGGATAGCAGACTATCTTGCCATGGCTGAGCTGAGCACAGCGGTGCCCTAACAATCTTCTTAAGCTTTCCTTCAGCTCCCTCCTTGCCTTTATTCCTTTATTTTATTCCTTTATTCCCCACGTGGTGGTAAAGAAMCCCCCTGGATGGAGATGTCTCTGCGTGCCAGGGGTGTTTTGTTCCTTGACTGGATGTGAGATCATTSCCTGGCTGTTCAGCATCTGTTCATCATTCCTGGAGTGTTCCCTTGGAACAGGTGCATGAACCTCTTAAGTTGGTTTGGGTTTTTTTCTTTTTTTCCTACTTTGTCCCCTCTCCCCCATGTCCCTACATGTGGAATTTAGAGATGATCCCCATTTTTACTGGATCTGATGGACCATCCAGCCTGCCAGCCACCAGGCCCTGTGTTTGTGTGGGGTGGAGCAGATGTGCTGAGCATCCTTAGAAGTCGGGGTCACTCCGGGACAAGGTACTCTAGAACAGTGTTTTGTTAGCATGTTAAGGGGCAGGTGCTGCTGGAGCACTCGTGTCCCCCTGAGCTGGTGGTTCTGTGCTGTACCTGGGTCATTCCCTCTCTCGCAGGCAGAGGGGAGTGAGCCAGTACAAAACCAAGCAGTGCAACTTGTAATTAAGCCTCTGCTGTGTTTACATGTTTCTTAATTCGTCGTCTTTTCAATGGCTGTATTTTAAAACTTGGGTTTTTTTGTCTCTCCAATTAAAAAGAGCCAGCCCTGGCTGTCAAACGCTGTGCATGAGTTTGTCTGATGTTTTCTGTTGGGTCGGGTTGGGTTTTTTCCCTGTGGTGTGAAGATATTTTCCTTTTAAAAAGTGCCACAGTGTGCAGCCCTTCAAACATGCTGTAGGAGTTTGTCCTTTGTTATCTTTATAAATCCTTGGTCTTTCTTTAAGCTGTGTCACTGCTTGGCAGCTATGCTGGTAGAGGACCTATGTGGCTTAAAAAATTAGCAGGCTGGCTTTATTTTCTTCCATTTCCCTGATGTCAGAACTGAAATAAGATGGCAACTTTTGTACCTGCAGGAAGTTAACTGTGATCTGCTCTGTAAATCCATCTCCAGAGAGAGTGTTTACAAGAGCATGCAGTGACAGGACAAAGGGGAATGGCTTCAAACTGACAGAGAATAGTTAAAATGGGATATTGGGAAAAAATTCTTCCCTATGGGTGGTGAGGTGCTGGCACAGCTGCCCCTGGATCCCTGGAAGTGTCCAAGGCCAGGTTGGACAAGGCTTGGAGCAACCTGGAATAGTGGAAGGTGTCCCTGCCCATGGGAGAGAGTAGAACAAGATGATTTTAAGGTCTCTTCCAACCCAGGCTATTCTAAGATTCTGAATTTTGTGGTTCTAGACAGGACTTAAGGATTCCTTCCTGCAGAAAAATGTCCCTCTGCAGTACTTCACTAGATCCCACCCTGAACATCTCAAAGAGGATGTACCTGTTCCTTCCTTCMAGAGCTAAATTGCAGATTTTTCCACTATTAAACCACAAGCAGCAGCAGTTGATTCCAAAAGGCTTTATTTATTGAAAAAATAAGCAAAACCAACAGTGTGTCAGGGGAAGGGATGTGTGGCTGCGGATCTTGTGCGGGCACGTTCGTGGTGCTGTGCTTGAGCAGGTAAACTTGAGAGTTGTGCAGGTTGAGGAGGAGGCATCAACAAGCTGGGTGGGAGCTGTGCTGCTTTAATGTGGCTTTTCCTCTTCCAAGCTCAAGACAAAATCAAATTCCTCTGTGGGAGGGAAGGAAAAGCCATAAGTGATGCTTCCAGCTTCTCTGAGTGAGGGAATCAGGAGCTCCAGGAGGTTCTTACCCTGTGTCAGGGGTTGGATGGACAGACGCTGCCTGGTGAAGAGCATCATGTCCTTGAGGGGCCCCCCATCTGCTTTGTGTGCCAGGTGGTGAGTCTTGATCTCAGAGAGGGGGATGAAGCGCTTGGTCATCCTCACAAACTGCACATCCACCTGGGAGGATGGAGAGGGTTGGACAAGGACACGGCCTCCAGATATCCTGGGAGGTCTTTGTAGGGATAAAGATTTACAACTGAAGCAAATGACTGATGTGCATTAACAGCCTGGAAGCTTTGCCTTGCTCAAGGCTGACTTTCCAATATTTCTGGCAGGTGATTTGTTGGCAGGAATCAGCACTGTGCACCAGCAAGGTGCATTCATGTTCTCAGACAGTACAAAATTAAGATGTGGGRTGTAGCCAGCCCATGAATGCTCCTTTCCCTATCGTTTAATGTGCCTCAAAACTACAGCTTTGCTGTGCTCTGACATTGGGACTTGGTTAYATTTCCTAATCCAGAGTTCTGCCATGAAGGGAGGCCAGCTCTGCAGCAGCCAAGATTTGAAAATAAAGGRAGGCCAGCTGTGCAGCCAAGATTTGAAAATTTAGAAAGAGATGTTTTGGCAGCCTTCTAGAAGAGATAGGGGAAAAAGGAGAGAAAACAGTCAGGACTGGATTTTGTCTTGAGATAGAAAAAGGCAGCTAGGCCAGGACAGAAGCTCAAGRTTTTCAATGATGCAAAGAGGCTTCTCCCTTCTCTTGGCCTGAACATAGAGCTTGGACAGCTGTATTTAATACAGTACATTACCATGGACCATTTGGGGTTCTCTTTTCTGCTGGTGGAGTCATAATGAGGATCCTTCTGATCGAACTGTGTGTGATCAGGGTACGCCTCCTTTACGATCTGAAGCAGAAGAGGGGAAGAAAGTTTCCATTAGTTCAAAATGTGACAAGGAATAATCCTGGTGCAAAAATCAGCCTTGCTTTCCCTGAGCTCCATTCTGACAGTGAGATATGTTTCCTTTACATTTTTTGGGTGGAAGAMGTGCAGAACAGTCAGTGAAGCATCACCTATTGGAGATCAGTGTGGAAAGAACAGACAAGAGGAAAACTGGGCAGCTCTGATGATAACCTTTGTGATGAGTTCTCCTCTTAATGAAAAAGCTTTTCTCTGCCCTGGGTTTATTCTACAGCCTTGTGGGCTCTGCTGACTAGAATGCAGTGAGTCACAGTGGAATCAGAGTGTGGAACAACACTTGTGCTGGCTGGGAGTGCCCCGAAATGTCAGCAGGAAAACGGCAGCTTGGTTCCATCTCTCTGGGGACAGAGGACTGAGTCAGCCCTGTACTGAGCTGAGGTGTCCTGGGCTCATTCTCTGCTCTCACTGGGCAACTCCTGCACCCCTTAGGTGCTGAGGCACAAGTARTGAGCTGTTTGATAACCCATTCGTTATCACTCCTCTCCTCTGCCCAAAACACAGGCACTCACCTTGACAATGGCCACAATTCCAGGCTCTTTGCAGTTACTGTGGTAGAAGAAAGCCTGCTGCCCAAGTTTCATGGMTCTCAGGAAATTCCTTGCCTGTCAAGAGTAAACAAGGAGATTTTCAGCTCTTTCCATCAAGTCCTCACAAATTAATTATAAGCAGCTGAAAGGAAGGAGAAGGAGATGTCTTTACAAACTGTGGGATCTGCTGRRAGATCAGGKCAGATCCTGACAGGTGAAAGGAGMAATGGGAGGAACCAGAAATYCCAGAGGAATTCCACCCATTGACACAGACTGGTACTGAGCCAAGGCAGGGCTAAATCCCTGSATTTAGGGAAAAAGAACAGAGAYACAAAGAATAAAAAGGAGTGGGGSATGAACATTAGATGGGGTCTGTGTTAGGGGATTGGGGCAGTCTGTGCTCTCCASTCCCTCAGCAATGGGGAAAGAGAGAGGGAACTGCAGATGGAAAATTGGGATAAAAGAGGCTGAGTCCTCTATGGATTGGAGAGACCCCATGGAAATGCCCATGGCCTCTCCCTTTATTCGAATGAAGTCACAGGACTCCTCTGTCTTCTTTCTGGACATCAACCTCTGCTGTTTGTGGTTTAATTTTCCTCACACAGCCAAGAACAGGAAGCAGCAAGAAGAGAGGTAGATGTGCTTCAGAACTACTCAGATAATGTTTCCTACAGTTGTCATAGAGATGATTTTGTGTTGGAATGAAATTAAGTAAAAAACAAGGCAAAAGAGCAAGGTCCTGTTGGTCAGAAAGTGTGTGGGAATTTGACAGCTCAGCCACACTTGCCCAGGAGAGCTGTCAGCAAACAGCTCAGAGCAGATCCTGTGCAGAGGGATAGGGAATCATGTCTGGTATGGGGATCATACACAGCAGGGGAAGCTCCTTTGGAACTGAAAGCCCTACACTGACAGAGTATTTGGGTAAGTACAGACTTGCTAAAAGGTTGGTTGGTCAAAGATTGGTGTAAGCAAAAGAAAAGCTGGATGATTTGACAGAATATTCCCCAGCCTGAATCCACCTCTGACCTGGAGGCCACTAAGCAGGAGCTGACTTCAGATTCCTCCCAAATGCACCTGTGAACAGGCAGAGTGCCCCAAAGGAAATGCTTCAGGCAAAGCCACCTTTCCCTACTGCTGTTTCAGTGACCCCACGTGCTTCCTACCTGGTAGTTCCTTACTCCATCCCAGCAGGTTGTCTGATTAGGCTGAGCTTTCAAGTCATCAACGCTGAACTGCCAAATGGAATGAAAATAAAGATTAATTCAGGAGGTATCTGATCTTTTCAGTGTCGTTGTCTGCAYTGAGCCTAAGCATTTGTTGCTAGCAGCTCCTTCAATTATAGCACAAACTTGACACAATTTCTATTTCCCACAGGGCCTAAAGAAAAACCTTTACAAAGCAGCAGTGTAAAAGCAGAGTCTGAAATAGATGCTGCCCCTGTGATCAACAGCCAAGCATCCTGAGGACCTGATTTCCTCTTGTATTACACATTCATGAAACCCCAAGGTTGTCACCTTGAACAAGAACAACACTTTGTTTTTTTATTTCCAGGAGGACAAATGGGTTTTGAGAAGAAAAAAAAAAAAAGCAATTTGAGTTGTTTGATGCTGTCACTCAGCCTCTGGGCACTAATGCTGGGCAGGGATGACAYTGCTGCTGCCCTTTTTTGAGCAAGGGGGTGTCAGTGCTTACCTTCACATCCACCCCCTTCTCCAGCCGGCTCTCTGGTTCTGATTTCAGCAGCCAGTGACAATATGTGATCTTGCTTTCCTCCCCACCGGACTCAGATTCTTTTTTCTTCCAGTTCTTCCATCCTGACTTGGAGCTCCCAGCTGGAGGTTTTGCAGACTTCTCATCTTCCTCCTTATCCGAAGTCTCCTCCTCRGTTTTGGCAATTTTAGCATCAGGCTCTTTTTTATCTTAAAAGACATTCAGRTAAAACACATTTTGTTTCAAAAAATATTTTTAGTTGTCCAAGCTGGTTTCACACATCTGACTGCAGCAGGAGTTTGGGGTACCCCAGGTGCTCAGGGTAAGGTAGCAGYATTATGCACCAATGATTCTGAGTATTTCTAATTTGCATCTGAAATAAGGATATTTTTGTGTGTGTGCAGTGTGAACAAACGTGGTTTAATAGTCAGAGTTAATAAGAACCCTCAGGATAGACCATGTTTGCCCACATGAAGTATAGTTGAATTTCTTTAATTAATTGCTGAGAAATCAGCTGCAGGCAACGAAGTTGGTTTAGGTGAATCTGGTGAGTAAGAGGAAAAAACAATTTTAATTCCTGCAGYAGCTGAAAACTTTAACCTCACTGAGCTACCTGTTCAGAAGGGATCCATATCCTTTGTTTCTTGATGACACAAACAAAAAAACAATTATTAAGAAGTGATCAAAAGGCAAGAGGTAGTTATTTGCTAGAGCAGATCAAGAAGTGGCAGGCATGAGCCAACTGCAATTTTTTCATCTTACACTTTAAACACCACATCATGGTGCMTCTAGTGCAATGGTTTTGCTTTCTTTTTTGCAGCTGGTCACATCAGTTTCCTGCTCTGGCTGTACTCTGACCATCTCTGCTTTGCAGGACCTGAAAGCTCTGCATAAACCAGCCTGAATTACATTTCCTACCCCCTTAAGCTGAGCATACATCACTGTCCTTATCACACACCTAGCAGACTTGTCTCAGCCACGCTTGGGTGCTYGGCCCATTTGGCACAGGAAGCGCTGTCTGTAAGGCACTGGCTGTGAAAGACAGACGGTTAATTCGGCTGTCTGTACTTTCACTATGGCCTGGAACCTCAAAGAGGAGATGCTAAATCAGTCAGGATGTCAGCACAGACCTGCTACTGCTCCTTTGTCTCTCTTTCTGCTCGGCCAAGGCATCTCTGGTCTCTCTGAATTATCTTCTCTTCACTGAGAAGCACCTGATGAACGAGAGAAGGAGGAGGAATCACTGCCTGAAAAAAAGCAGAGTTGGCTGAGGCAGAGAGCTGCAAGCGCCGTAGGGCGAGTGGAGAGCAAATAAATCTTTCCTTGAGCTCAGCCACTTCCTCTATCAGTGTGAATGCTGGCAGGGCTCGGGGACCGCACCCTGGAGCCCTGACGGACACCAGCAGCAGGGCTGGATTGCTGCCCCACGGCGGGGCAGCGGCCGGACAACAGTCCCGGCGGAGCGTGGGCTGAGCGCGGCCCCRCTGCCGCGCCAGAAGGGCTGTGCTTTGGAAAAGAGAGCCGAGCCTGTGTGCAGAGCTCAGCCARCCTCGCCCCGGGCTGTCTGCTCTGCCCGTGCTCACTGAAACCCTCCGGGCACGGCTCGGCTCTGCGGACAGCCTGACCCACCTGGGAAAGCTCGCCCCAGGTGACCCTGGCTGGCCACGGGCGTGCCCTGGCTGATGCCCAGAGGTTCCTTCCAGCCCTCCGGCCCCGGCCCATCCCCTGCCCCCTCCGCCAGCAGCAGCTCCGCGGCTCCGAGCAGCCCGCCTCCCGCCAGGCCGGCTGGCATCAACTTTTCCACCTTGTATGCCAAGCTTTTTCCCCTTCCTCCCTCCTGCCCAGCCCCCGAGCTGCCGCTCACCAGCCCGGGCCGCTGCCGCCGGTCGCGCTCGGGGCGATGGGGATGCTCGGGGTGCCGGGCGGGGAGCAGCAGCAGCAGCAAGAGGAGGAGGAGGAGGAGGAAGCCGCGTTCGGAAGCGGTGCCCGCTATGCAAAGGCCGGGGCAGGGCTCCCCTCGCTCCCTCCCCGCTCGGGCGGGCGGTGCTGCGGGCAGGACTACAGCTCCCAGCCTGCCCCGCCGGCAATCGGGAAGCGGAGCGGCCCCGCACGGCCATGGCCATGGCTATGGCGTGGCGAGCGGCCCCGCGGGCGGCGCGGCTGCTGCTGCTGGGGCGCCGGGGGATCGCCTCCTGCATCGACCGTAAGGAGCTGYCCGTGGATCCCCCCGCGGCCCGGGGGAGGCGGGCTGGGGGAGACGGACAGCGGCTCGGTGGCCCCGCACCTCCTGTCCCCGCCCGGAGGGATGTTCCCAGCTCCCTSTGTCCCTTGTGTYMCTSCTCCCGGTGTCCCCTTTCCCGGTGTCCCCGTTCCCGGTGTCCCCGCTCCCGTTCCGGGCGGTGCGGACACGGACACCCCGCAGCGTGTGCCCGGCAATGGGAAAGGTCCTGCCCTCTCCCTGACCCTCCTTCACCTTTGTTAGACCGTGCTCACCAATGGGACAGAACCCTCAAGGAAGGTTCTTTCCTCTCCCCGTCCCTCCCTTATCTAGATKTCCACGTATTTTCAGATTTGGCAGTGAATCGAAGAAGATCTCTCAAAGAAGGGGGTTTATCAAAAAGAAGAAAAGCGATTTTTTTACATGGGCAGACTGATAGGGCAAGCGGGAACGGGTTTAAACTAARAGAGGAAATATTTAGGTTAGATGTTAGGAAGAAATTCCTATGGCAAAATTCCAGCTGGCACATGTTGCACAGAGAAATTGTGGATKCCCCATCCCTGGCAATGTTCAAGGCCAGGTTGGACAGGGCTTAKTCTGTAGAAGTAGGGTACAAGGTGTCAGGTGGTTGGAACAAGATGGTCTTTAGGGTCCCTTCCAACCCAAACCATTTGGGTTCTGATTCCAGAACACTTGGCAGATTAATTGCTTTGATGTCTCAATGTAATAACATTTAGAATTGAAACAGCAGCACCCCTATGAATTTCAGGAGAGGAACAAAYAAAACAATRTTGGATCCATRTGYCAGTGAAGCAGGGGGTTTCAAATASAGGCTCTAAGGAAACCTTTAGATGCTGTTTCCAAAGGCTTGCTTCCAAGTCTCCCTTTTTTGAAGTCCCAGGACTGTTCCCTCATATTTYTGCAGCACAGACTTAGTGAGATGGAGTGTCAGCTGCCATGGACTGTGCTGCCCCTGTCCTGRTTTTCCAACGTAGTTAGCATGGAGCAGAGAGACAGATGGGATCTCAGGTTTGTTTTGTCCTAAGAAAACCCCTCCCAAAGCCTCTTACTCTCAGCACAGTTCATGATWTTCCTGAGGAACAGAGAAATGGTCTCTGCAGCAGAGACCCTGAGCTGWTTGTGTGAGTTAAGGGGCACTTTGACATTTTTTGGGGTGTAGATGAAGTGGTTGTGCTGCTTTCCCACAGCAGACACATATTCTTGCCTCTTCCTGCTTTTCCAGCRTCTGTCGGACTGACTGAGGATCAGAAGGAATTCCAAAAAGTTGCCCTTGATTTTGCTGCCAAGGAGATGGCTCCTAACATGGCTGAGTGGGATGAGAAGGTAGGAGAGCCTCAGAAGGGTTAAACTGCTCCCTTTTTCCTCCCTTAGGATGTTATGATCCATAGGTCTCACCRAGAGGGTCCTGCAGTAGCTCTGGAGGTTGGTATTGAAGCTGCTGCTGTAACTGGGTGGGGGGGAAATCATCAGAAATACCTTGAAGCTTTCCTATCCAGGTTATTGAATCACCTGAAACCTGGGTTCACTCCTGAAGATGGATTGTGTCTGTGTTTTGTCTCTTCTTTGACCCACTCAGTTGATTTAAAACTCTGCAGCACTGTGACACTTGAATTGGTAGCCCAGGGGCTCCAAAAGAGATTGAACTGAGCCTGAATATTCATTGGGATACCCCTTCCTGCCCCATAGGAAATATTCCCTGTGGAAACGATGCGGAAAGCAGCCCAGCTGGGATTTGGTGGGATCTACGTGAAACCAGATGTTGGTGGCTCTGGATTGTCACGACTTGACACCTCCATCATMTTTGAAGCTCTGTCCACAGGATGTACCAGCACCACTGCTTACATGAGCATCCACAAGTGAGTGTGTCTGTGGAGGGGAGGCTGCTCTCAGCCTGGCTGCTTTGTGGGCTCTAAATCCAGCTGGAGGCTGCTTCTTTGCTGTTGCTTATTATTTAAATATTTAAATTGTGACCTCGAGTACACATGTCCCCGTGAGGATCCCTGGATGGCAGTAAACAAACAGGCCACAAGGACTGAGATGCCACCAAGAAGTAATTTTAGCTCTGTGGCAYGCAAGACAGGATTAAGTCCTGGATTTTGTTCCCTGCTCTGCCACTTCAGCTGTCCATAGATAGTAACGTGCCTGGAAAAGCCTTTGTGCCTCGGCCTGCTGTGACAGAGCCCAGAGGCACCACCTGACCCCAGGGCTGTCCTGCTTGTAGGGACATGTCCAGTGACAGGGCACTTGGCACAGAGAGCTGTGATGATGCTGCCTCCTTCTTCCAGCTGCAGTTTTGTGGAGAGGGAGCAGGGCTGAGGGTGGAGGGGAGACTGAGGCACTGAGATAGGAACCTGCTGTTCCACGAGGCAGCGAGTCTGTGGTGCAACAATACATTTTCAGGCCTCAGGGCTTGTGGCTGAACTCTGTGGAGTTCTGTTCAGCCAGGGATGATGTTGTACAGCCTGCTTTCCTGCCAGGGCTGTGTTTACACGCTGAGTGTTGCTCCTTCTCTCCCACCCCAGCATGTGTGTTTGGATGATCGACACCTTTGGCAATGAGGARCAGCGGCGCAGGTTCTGCCCATCGCTCTGTAGCATGGAAAAATTTGCCTCTTACTGCCTGACTGAGCCAGGTGAGCATCCTCAAACCAGGACATCTCCTTTAACCGGACAGGGCTGGAGGTGAAAGGTTTCTTTCCATGTTCATTTGGGAAGTTAGGGAGGGGTAGGTGATGATTGCTGAGATGCTCGTGGTCCAAAGCCAAGTGTCAGGGTGTGATCTCAGGGAAAATTTGTAGGCTCTGGACCTTATTCTTCATTGGCTGCTTCCTTATCTCTCAAACAGGGAGTGGCAGCGATGCAGCTTCCCTGCTGACCTCAGCTCAGAGGAAAGGGGACACCTATGTCCTGAATGGCTCCAAGGTACCTCTGCCCCTGCTGAAGCTGCCTGCACACCAGGCAGGGCCTGGGTCTCACTGTCCTTCCCATTCCTGCTGCCTCCTGATCTCTGTGCGTTCTCCCACRGCAGGATGTGCTCTGCACAGCTTGCACCAGCTGGGTCCCTAAATGCYTCCTGGCTGTAGGGTCTTTGCCCCTCCATCTCTGTACCCTGCCAGCTGCTGCTGTGGGCTTAGGATTAACTTATCAAACCACCCCAAATCCCCACTTTTCCTGTTGTGCCCTCCTGCAGGCCTTCATCAGCGGGGGAGGTGACACCGATGTGTACGTGGTCATGTGTCGCACAGGGGGCCCGGGCCCCAAGGGCATCTCCTGCCTCGTGCTGGAGAAGGGAATGCCAGGGCTCAGCTTTGGCAAGAAGGAGAAGAAGGTAAGAGGCTTGGTTTGTGCTTGGTGTGCTTGAGGGAAGTGCAGGACAGAGGTCACAGGACCTCCAAGAACCGAGTCCAAGCTGTGCCCGATCCCCACTTTGTCACCAGCTCAGGGCACGTCCTGTTTTTCCTTGGAGAGGGACTCCAAACTTCCCTGGGCAGCCCCTTCCAATATTTAACAACTCTTTCCATGAAGAAATTCTTCCTGATGTCCARCCTGAGCTCCCCTGGCACAGCCTGGGGCCACGTCCTCYTGTCCTGATGAGCTTGTCCCTGCAWAGCATTAGGGATCTCTTCATGGATGAGACTGGCWTTCCAGCATGGTTTTACCAAGCCAACTCCAGCTTTTTGCCCCATACTCATCCCTCTGGTAAGTGAAGGATTTTAGTCTCAGGAACATCAAGGATCACTAGATTTGTGCCTATTCTCAAAAGAACCCATTCCAGTTTCCACACTGAGGCCAAACCATGCAGACCACAGGTGCTTTGTGGCAGCTTGGCACTGAAACCAAAGGGTTGGCAGCAGGCTGGTGGTTCTGTGTTGGAGCTGGAGCTGTGCTGCTCCTCAGGCAGTCTGGAATGAGCTCTGTTTTTCCYCAGGTAGGCTGGAATTCCCAGCCAACTCGGGCTGTGATCTTTGAGGACTGTGTTGTTCCTGTGGGCAACCGGCTGGGAGCTGAAGGGCAGGGATTCAACATCGCYATGCAGGGCCTCAACGGAGGCAGGATAAACATTGGTGAGGAAGGCAAAAAGAGCTGAGGGAGGGCAGGATCATGTAGTTGCCTGTCTGAATGAGTTTCATGCTCACTCTGCATCCTTGGCTTCTCCCACCAGCTTCTTGCTCGTTAGGAGCTGCTCACGCCTCTGTCGTCCTGGCTCAGGAGCACCTCAGTGTCCGCAAACAGTTTGGGGAACCCCTCGCCAACAACCAGGTAACCCTGCAGCAGCTCTGCCCTCCGGAGCTGAGCTCTTCCCCACCCTGGAAGGGCCATCCCTCTCCCCCTTCACAGGGAAGTTGGGAACACGCTCTTGCTGTGTGAGGAAGGGGCCTGAGCCCTGCCTGAAGGCGCTGGGGCTGTGGCTCAGGCCCCTGTGAGGATGCTGAGCCATCTCCTSTGGCTGTGGCAGTACCTGCAGTTCCGGCTGGCAGAGATGGCCACACGCCTGGTGGCAGCRCGTCTCATGGTGCGCAACGCGGCGCGGGCGCTGCAGGACGGCCGGGAGGACGCGGCCGTGCTCTGCTCCATGGCCAAGCTCTTTGCCACCGACGAGTGCTTCGGGGTAGGTCGCTCAAATGCCACTTGGAAGCTCAGAGAGCTCCCGCTTAGAGCCCAGGGTGTCAGGGAGAAGTTTGGTGCTGTAGCATCCCAAAACCAAGCCCAGAGCCAGCAGCCTGATTTGAGAACAGCATATTTTATGCTGCACCTRGGGAAAATGCAGGATTAATTTTCTCACAGTTCTCCCTACACCACTTCCTAAGGGACCAGAAGGGACAAAAGACAGGGTGCAGAGCATTTTTATTTTCCAAGGATAACTTGCATGTTGCAGGGTGATTGTTCCTAGGCACCAAGTGGTCTTTCCTAGACGGCTGAAAAATTGCCTTATCGCTTTGCAAATCACCTCATCACTTTGAAAAACACCTTTTCACTTTAAAAATTACCTCGTCACATTGAAAATTACCTTATCGCTTTGAAAAATATCTTCTTTTGTTGCCTTATCAAAATGTCCCCAGAAAGAGAAAGCAAGAAGGGAAAAAAGGAACACTTGACACTTCCTAGCTCAATGTCATTTAGAAGCTGTTTTCTGTGCTCAGCACTCTGCGTTTTTGCTGTTATTATGTTTTCTATCCCATATTGAGGGATAAGAGTCGTGTTTCCATGGAAACCAGCGCCCTGCCATGCCCTCCCCTTGGTGGCCGCCAGGTGGCGATCGGGCGGTTCGGGTTTGCATTTGCAAGGCACGGAAACGCCGCAAAAATCGCTTTAATCCCTAAAAATACCAATCTCTGGGTGTCTCTGTACCCTTCCCTGGGTATTTCTATACCTTTTCCTGGGTATTTCTGTGCGTTCTTATTCACACAAACAGCCCTAAGGTTGTTACAACATCCAGAGCAGCACTGATGGGGACTGAGAGTCACAGCAAGTTTTTAAGAGATGAGATTGGGTAACCAGGGGAAAAAAGTGAACCCGGGTTCCGGAGTCCTTACCGAGCTTCTGCCCCTGATGTGTCCCCCACAAGTCCTCTCACAGCAGCGTTATCCTCTCAGATCTGTAACCAGGCCCTGCAGATGCACGGKGGCTACGGCTACCTGAAGGATTACGCGGTGCAGCAGTTCGTGCGAGACATCAGAGTCCACCAGATCCTGGAAGGTAAAAGACACCCTGATSACAGATGGCTTGGCAGTGGGGTGAGGAGAGAAACTCCTCCAGAGGCTCCCACCTTCCCACATGACCCTGATTCTTGGGTTTCAGAGCGCTGCTGTGCTCTGAGCATTTGGTGTCCCGCGTGTGAGTCCCCTGGCTGGCATTCTGGGTGTGTTGGAGCAGTTGCTGGCTATTTTAAGAGTCTTACAGCAGAGGAAGATATTTYGTTGTCATGTTAGCAGTGCCTCTGTCCAGTTTCATCCTGTTACTCCTAGTCATGTGGTGATTCTCCCTAGCAGTTCTTTCCTGTGATTTTGGTCTGGCTGCACTCTTTGACATCGTGTCTCAAACAGTGTCTGGCCTTTTCTAATCTCACTTTAGCCTCCTAAATATTTTGTTTTCCCTGCTTTGAAATCCCTGTGAACAGAGAACTTTTCCTCAATTTAATGAACCTGGTAAAGGATTCTTTCCAGTACTGAGTGGGTTTGCAGCCTCTGTGTGTATATGCAAATAATAAAGCAGAGAGCTCAGATGTTGGTATAAATTCCTGATCCTCATCCTCCCAATGCCCAAATAAAARCAGTACCAGCATCCAAACCTTTCCCAAGCAATGTGCTGGCACTTGCCAGTTGTGTTTTGGCCCGACCCCTCCTAAATGCCACTTCAGCTGGTGGGAAGAGCTTTTCTGTGCTGTAAACTGCACAGCAGGGAAGAATTCTTTTGGCCTTTTGAGGTGGAAAATACTGAATCACGTCTTAACTTCGTTTCCTTTGCTCCCCCGTCCTGCTGCAGGTACCAACGAGGTCATGAGGATGATTGTGGCCAGGAGTCTGCTACAGGGCTGAACCTGGAGCCTTAAAATTCCTTCATCTGTTAGAGCTCGGCCTGTTTCCCTCCCCTGCTCCCCAGCTCTCTCCCTGGGAGTGGAGAGGGGGATAGCACAGTGGAAACAGCCTTCCTGCCTTACCCTGCCGGGAGCACAGCTGGATGGCACAGCTGGATGACACAGCTGGATGGCACAGCTGGGTGGCACAGCTGGGTGGCACAGCTGGTGATGGATGAATGCCAGCTGTCAATGCAAGCCTCTGTCTCCAAATTTTGCTCCTGGCCCGCTTGCCACACTAGTCCTCCTTGCAAAGAGAACCACCAGAGCTGCTGCTCACCTCTGCTGAAACAGGACTGAAATGGGAACCTCGGGCAGAAGTGTGGCCTGAGCCCGTGGGATCACTGAAATCTTTATTTTGAAGGAATTAACAGCTCTGCTTAAAACCTGGGTGCTGACAGCACCCCTGGGAACATATGATCACAAGCTCTAACCACCTGTACAGTGCTTTTATCCCAGGATATCTCTCCTTTAGCTAGAAACACTCCCTCTTTCCCCAGCAAACCTCTCCTGATGTCCCAGCCACCGCTTGTTCTCCATATTCCCACCACATCTTGGTGCTTAATCTCAAAGAAGCCTTTGCAGCACAGAAGTGCAAATGAAAAACTAAGATYATGTACAAAAATATTGGACTCTATGGCCTCCAATCAGTGAAATCATTGCTGTGAGCAATGTAAGGGGAGTAAAAATATTGATAAAATAAATTATTTTTTCCTCTTGGGTTTGRAATCAATAAAGCAATGATGGAAATGTTTCTGGAGTGTCAGTTGTGATGATTTCCTTCTGTGGCATTTCAGGTGTTTAAACAGAGGGAACAGGGAATTTTTGAAGTAGGTGTTGCAAAATAGTTCTGCTTGAGGGTTTTTTAGGTAATGTTGTTAACTCCTTCAGATCAGCCAGCTCTTTTCTCTCAGCAGTACCTGACAGGGAAGGAAGATGACAGAACACTAGCAGCAGAATCATGGAATTGCTTACGTTGGAAGGGACCTTAAACCCATCTCATTCCAACCCCTGCCATGGGCAGGGACATCTTCCTCATTTGATCTGTTTCTGCTGTTGCCAGCAGACCCTGAACGTCTCTGCCCAGGGTCCCTGTGTGGAGTTTCCCTCCGGGATCTCTCTTCAAGGGTCTCTGGGGAGATCTTGCTCTGGCGTCTCTCCCCGGGATCTCTATCGGGGTCTCCCTATAGGCGTTCCCTGCTCGGGGTCTCTGGGTTCTCTTCTGGGGGTCTCTATCGGGGCCTCTCTTCACAATCCCTGCCCGGGGTCTCTCAATCGGGGATCTCTCACAGGGGACCCTGCCGATGGTCTCAGCTTTGGTTCTCTCCCGGAGTTCTCAGTCCAGGGTCTCCCGTGTGGGTCCCTGTCCGTGCTCTCAGTCCAGGGTATCTCTACCGGGGGTCTCTCTCCGGGTGTCGCTCTTCGTGCTCTCGGTCGAGCTCTCTCCCGGGGGTCCCTGTCCATGGTCTCAGTCCGGGGTGTCTCTATCGGGGGTCTCTATCCATGCTCTTTGTCCGTGCCCCCGTTCTGGGCTCTCTCTATCGGGGGTCTCTATCCATGCTCTCAGTCCGGGGTGTCTCTCTCGGGGGTCCCTGTCCATGCTTTCCGTCCAAGCTCTCTGTCCGTGCTCTCTGTCCATGTTCCCGGTCCAGGCTTTCTCTCCCGGGTGTCTCTATCCATGCTCTCTGTCGATGGTGTCAGTCCGGGTGTCCCTGTCATGCTGTCTGTCCATACTCTCTATCCGTGCTCCCGTTCCGGGCTCTCCCCGAACGCCCCCGGGCCGTTCCCTCACGGCCGCGCCGC